ATCACATCCCCAGCAATCGGCGGTTGTAAAATGAGCTGTGCAAGGGTTCATACACCACTAGTGGGTAGCATTGTACAAATATTATACATATATTGCACATGAATTGTAGCCAGCTAGAAAGTGTCAAATTGAACCTGCGGTTTAAAATTAGTTTCTTGTAATATTTCTATTGCATAAGCGCTTTTGAAGTTGAGGACCTAAATATTTTCATAAACGTTTTAGAAATTGCAGAGCTAATTTTTGAGTTAGCGCTGGCCACCACTGATAAAACACTTAGAATATAGTGAGTCAAAAGTGTCAGGACACCCTTTTGTTTTAGACAAAAGGGAAAATAAAATATCAGACTAACCCAGCAAGCAATGTGTGTGTCTATCTTTTAAGCTTTGCTTGAACATTTGCATTGAATGCATCAAATACAGTACATGATGTAGTTTCTTGTTGTTGCAACTTTCTGTATGGATAACTTTTGAACCACACAAGATATTTCACATCTGATGGCAGCAAATCCATTTCTGAGACAATTCTGGCCTTCTTTGATATGCTCCATTTCACATTTTATTGATTGTTGTGGTCTTTGGAGYGATTGTTTCATGGAGATTCAGTGACTCAGTATTTGTTTGGCCCTTAATTTAGTGGTCTTTAATTCACAACACCGCTTTTCCATTTGCTCCATTTCCAGCGCCACCTGCAGTGCACTTGTTCATGCGTAACGCCAAATTTGAGACAAACGTTTTGACGTGCCTGGCCACGGGCTTCTACCCCAAAGACATCATCCTGAATATCAGAAAAGGTGACCGTCTCCTAACCAGAGAGGATGGCGTGAGGACATCCGGAGTTCGTCCAAATGAAGACGACACCTTCCAGAGAAGAGACGAGGTGGAGATTTTGAAGTCGGATGCTTCCATTTACACCTGTGAAGTCATTCATCGTGCCTCAGGTGTGCATGTTTCAAGGAGTTTGGGTAAGAACCTATTATTTATTTATGTATTTATTTATTTTTTAGTCAAATGTCAGAGTATAAATCAGATGCTTTACTAGTTTTTTCATTGCATGTTTGTTAGCTGTTGTCCATGTTCTAATTTACTTTCAGTTTTTAGTGTATTAGAGCCCCTACCAGTGTTGTTTGAACTGTTSTCTGTTGTTCTTTCTTTTATAAAGAACCAATATGAAATTTATTGTGTTATGGCTGTCAGAATTACACTCCATACCAAAGAGTTGTAGGTCTTGTTCRTACAGACAGATCACTGCAGAGTTACATTAATATCACATGGCTTTCATCAGCTGGTAGTTTAGTATGAGGCATAAAGTACTTTTAGCTTAGTGACCTGATGTGTTTAACCGCAGTCCCTGTTGGTGAGCTTAGAAATTAAGATGTTGGTTAATTGTTGGTAATGTATTGGTTCAGGGCACATTTGGTTTGCAAAATCGGGACCCAWATAGTGTTCTAAACTGGTGAGAAATTTGTATAGTGTGTTTATCAGGGCATTTAATGAGATTCATCTAGAAGTGGTTAAAGACACAGGATTTCAGGAACACAGGAAGGTTTATTTAGTTATATTTTAATTAAAACTGACAGAACCGATTCATAAACTAAAAATAATTAGATTTGTCCTTTATTTGAATGCTACTGTTGTTTTGGCTAACTGGTATTTCACAGTAAATACCTGGTTTAACTTAAAGAAACATTTTAACCTATATTTCTTCTCAAAAGCAGACATATTGAACCTGTAAAAGGAACACATATTGTTATAATTTTGACTTGKTTTGTCAAGTTTTGTAACCTCCACAGCATCAAACATGTACTGCATGTGAACTGAACTAATCTGAATGTTTTCCTTTGTTTTACAAGGCTGGCAACCAAACGAAGGTGGAAATCTAATCCCAATCATTATTGGTGCTGCAGTAATAGTATTACTGACAGTGGTCGTTGTGGCGGTTATTGTGTACAAAAGAAGAAGCTGTGAAGATTGTAAGTTCAAATGTCTGTTTTTGTCTTCATCAGCAGTGAAGTTATTTTTTTGTTGTTATATTGTTTTTTTCTCTTTACTGTAAAAGAGAACAACAYAGCTCTATTTTTTATTAGGATGAGAAAAATTAAGAACATTTAAAATGTTTAATAAACCAAATTAAAGTATGACACTATTTGATGAGTTAGGTCACTAAAATAGTAATATGAAGAGTCTCAGTTTAAGATGACCAGTCTATAATATAGGTGTGGTGCTTTTTATTTGGTGCAAAGTCTGTTTTATTTTATCATGACTTTTACTGAAGGACTCAAAGGTCACACTGAATGTGGTTATAGTCTTTGAATATAACAGCAGAATCATTTGAAAACCTTTTACAACAAAAATACTTTTTCTAACCGTTCATTAATTTGAGTAACAATGTGTAGTTGTATTTTTACACAGAATTCTTCCACATATCCATATCACTGCATTTTCTCTGTTTTACATTTATGTATTATAAATATTTCTTCCTATTTGCTTAGTTTTAATGCATTTCTTTGAGAGTATTATAATTTATTTTTCCAAAATCAAAAGATGACATGAATTTGTCAGTAATTGTCTTTTTAATCCTCTTTTTTTTCCAGGCTGTGAGCATGGTATTGGGTTAAGACCATGTAAGTGTTTTATTTCTGCAATATGTTTTAACAGTGTTTAGGCAATTTTTGTAAACTTTGACAAACCAGGCATATACACTCACCGGTCACTTTATTAGGTACACCATGCTAGTAACGGTTTTGTGGTCATAAAGGGATGGACATGGTCAGCAACAATACTCAGGTAGGCTGTGGC